ATCTTTATAAGTATATAGAATATATTATTCTTAGTATAGTGTAAAAAGAGCTATAAGTATAAAGTACTATTTCTAGTAGCTAGATATCTATAGAATAAAAGTATTTATACTAATATTAGTATAAATAGTTTATTTTATAATATAGATACTATATAGTTAAATAAATAGACTAAGAAAAAAATTACTTAAACTTAGATAAAATCTATATACTTTATAGTAGAATATAAAAAGCTATAGATTTAGAAGCTATAATAAAGTAATAAAGTATTCTAGTATTATACGTAATATTACTTTATATATAATAGAGTTAACTCTAATAGAAAGTATTAGTAAAGAATATAGTTAAGAAATTAAATATATATTACTTATTTTACTTAATAGCTCTAATAACTCTAAATAGTAGTTTTTATAATATATTCTATTTAAAAGTACTAATACTAGACTACTAAATATATACTATCTTAGAGCGCTATCTAGTAGATATATATAAAGATAAGTAGCTTTTATATACTAAGATAATATATATTAACTAGTAGAATATTTATAAAAAGAAAATAGATAAACTTCTATAGTATTAGTTTATCTTTATAAGTTTATAAAATCTATTACTTTTAGCTTAGAGTAAAGATAGTTATAAGTATAGTATTCTATTTCTAATTATAAGTAATCTATAGAAAGATAGTATCTATAGTTTCTAGGTTAAATTCTAGCTTCTTATCTTTATACTTTTATATAAGATTTAAGAGCCTTAAACTTTATAGCTTAGTTTTAATTTCTAGAATTTTTAAAAGAATATATACTACTACCTACTATAAAATAAGATATTTAGAAAATATACCTATATTATAATTATATACTATATTACTTAACTATATTATACTTATATTTCTATACTAGTATACTTAATAAAGTAATAGAAAGATAGTATTATTAGTAATATAGATATTATTAGTAATATAAATATTATTAGTAAAGTATACTTTATATAAAATATATAAATAGATATATAGAATTTAAAGTAAGTTATTATAATAGAAGTAGAAAATATATATAAGTATTTAATTAGCTTTTAACTTAATATTATAGCTTCTAGAGCTAGTATAATAAATCTACTTATAGACGTAATATATATATAGTATATATAGTATTAACTCTAAAGTAAAGTCTATACTAGCTACTAGCTTATATAGCTTTTATAATATTATAATATTATATTTTATACTATACGCGTATTATTTTACTTCTATCTAATTATTTTACTTTTATCTAGAGTATTATATATATTATATCTTATAGTATATATAATTATCTAAAGTTTTAATATTTCTTACTAAGGCTTAGAAAAGTAGTATAATATAAGTTTTATATTAATCTACTACTATAGCTCTAAAATACTAATCTCTATAATTATATAATTACGTAGCTAATTATATATATTTCTAGTTAGACTAATTAATATATATACTTTTGTTCTAAGATTATAATCTTAAGAGCTCTATAAGTAGAGTAATTATATTATCTTATATATTATAGAGTTAACTCTAATATAAGACTTACTTATTTCTATTATTATAGAATTATTAAGTAGTAAGCGCGCCTCTTAGAATAGCTAGCTATTATTGCTGTATAGACTAGTAGTAACACTGCTCGCGCAACGTTACATCGCGTAACACAACGTCGTTCTATAGTTTTTATTCTAGGCAGACTACCTTAGACGAGCCGTGCTAGAAGTCTAACTACTATAGAGATAGCTACTTAAGCGTGCTAGCTATTAAGCAGAGGTACATGCCGAGCTTTACCTTGTACAGCGAGGTAGCTGTTAGCAGTGATGCGTATACGGTAGGCGAGGACGTTGTAAGAAGAGCAATAGTAGATGTTATATGCAATTGTCTGCGCCTGGCTCGTACGACAGGTAACAAGTCTCTGAACTGCTTCACCACCCCGAGATCTCCCCAGTATACACAACCAACTTTCCGCCGTGCTCCTGCTTCGTAGTCTTCGCCAACACCCACATCATGCCTTCGCAGGACTCCTTGACCGAAACCGGCGCCTTCTCGCCTATACCCAAAGCCACGGACGCGCCGTTGCCCATATCCGTCGCAACATGACCCGGGTCGAACGCAAAGCAGTTGAGCCAATTCTCCTCGGCGTTGATACGAATCGTGTACCAATTGAGCGCTGTCTTGGTCGGCGCATACGCCGCGTTGGGAATGGGCAGGTGGTTGCTGGAGGCATGGTCAAACGGGTGCGCGAGAGGAATGTCACGTTTACTTACACCAATAACCCCGCCGACGAGCCCATGGGCAGGAAGATTGGCTCGCGCGTTGACTTCTTCAAGAGCGAGCGCGTCGCCTGGTACAGCGCAATCACGCCATACACATTCGGCTCCATGTGCGCCCTGATGTCCGCAATCTTGACCTCGGCGACACTGGGCAAGATGTAGCTGATGCCGGCGTTCGCAATCACAATGTCGAGGCGATGGATTTGGTGCTTCTCCTGCAGCTCGGCGACGGCATCATACGCGTCCTGCTCGATGCTTGCGTCGAGCTTCACAACAATGAGCTGGCTGTCGGAACCCCTGGGCAGGTCTTGTAGCGCATGCGCGGTCGCGTGCTCCGGGTTGCGCACTGCGGCGATGACGGTGTGCGAGGGCTTTGCCAGAAAGCGCTCGGTAAGGCCAAGACCGATGCCTCGGTTGGCGCCTGTAATGAGGACTATGGTGGAGGACATGTTGGTGGAGCGGGGTTGCAGTTCTCGTTCTCGTGTGTTGCTGGTGAGTTACGATTGAGATGATGTCGATGCAAAGGAACAAGAGGTAGATCTCTGGCTCCACGGCAGGATATCCATCTCTTGTTCTGCGGGTGGGAAGATACTTGTAGCTTTGGGACCTGCGGCCAGATAGGCTATACGAGCATCACGAACGTGCGAAAAGGATAAGGCGCCCAACGCGAAGATGACATATCGGCGTACGAACGGTTGTAAGCCATGTACGAGCTTCGTACCTGCATGCGTAGGATTTATCGCTAACAGTCTTCCGATAGTTGTCGCATTTCTAAGCACGGCGCTACCACCAAGGTTGCGTAGCCAAGACGAGCCGCAGATGCATGGACGCAAGGCTGTCACATCGTTCGATGATGGAAGCGGAAGCGTCGCGCTTGGGGCACGCGCTCGATGTCAGGAACGTAGGTGTCGTCTTACAACACGATCTGATGTCGCGTGTGTGGGAGGTTGTGGTCGCAACGCTAAGGACGCGTGGGCGCGACTCGAGCTTCCACCGCGCAGGATGGTAAGGCTGACGTCACCACCAACCCACCTCAAAACACCACAGGCGCCATCGTCACAATGTCATGTTTCTATCCAAGATCGCGCGCTCTCTTACGACAAAATCCACCATGAAGCTCGATCCGGCAGTCATCAGGCTCCTCGGCCTGAACCTTGACAAGACGCACGTTTCTTCCGCAGGCGGAGGCGGCTCTAGTTCGGCATCGACGTTGAAGATCACGTCACAACTTAACGATGGCACAGATCAGACATTCTTCATGAAGACTGGGAGCGGGGAAGAGGCCGATGTCATGTTCCGAGGTAAGCGCAACGTCTAACACCTCCGGGCTGGCTAATCAACTGACAGCGCGATGAAGGCGAGTACGCATCCCTCCAAGCCATCCACGACGCCGTACCATCTCTATGTCCTCAACCCCTCGGCCACGGACGATTTGAATCGCAGCCATCCACATCCTTCCTCGTGACTGAGTTCCTTCACCTCACGGGACGATCAAGTTCAAAGTCGAAAGCGCCATCGCTGGCAGCTAAGCTCGCAAAGCTACATACCACGCCCGCGCCCATACCAGAAGGCTGTGACAAGCTTGTGTTTGGGTTTCCGGTGACAACGTGTTGCGGCGATACACCACAAGACAATAGCTATAAGGGAAGCTGGGCAGACTTCTATGCAGAAAACCGTCTCAGATATATACTACGATGCGCGGAGCAGAACGGGCGCAGGGACGGCGACGTCAAGAAGCTAGTTGAGCAGACCGCGACCATGGTAGTACCCCGCTTGATTGGCGATGACCATCTCAATAACGGCGAGGGAGTGACACCTGTCGTTGTGCATGGCGACTTATGGAGCGGCAATGCAAGCGCAGGCGTCATTGGCAATAAGAAGGGCGAGGTTGAAGACGTGGTCTACGACTCGTCGGCATGCTACGCGCACAGCGAGTTTGAACTGGGTGCCATGAAGATGTTTGGTGGGTTCGGTGGAAGTTTCATGAAAGAGTACCATGAGCTGTGTCCAAAGACGGAGCCCGTGGAGGAATACGAAGACAGAGTGAAGCTCTATGAGCTCTACCATCATCTTAATCACTATGCAATGTTCGGGGGAGGTTATCGGAGCGGCGCAGTCAGTATCATGCGAGATCTAATCAAGAAGTATGGTGGTGAAGGATAAGTCGAAGAATTGATAGAGTGACAACGAGTAGTCGGGTATCTACATTTGAATGTACACCATTTGAACCAGTCGCGATTAGCCCGAGAAGCAAGTTCAAGAGCTCAAGGAGGAAGCTGGACGCTTGGAAACGGAGGCGACTAGTCACCCTCGCATGTTATTGTCTCTCGAGTTCGTTACTACAAGGTGTGTGAACATCTTACGTGATTAAACACAATAGCTACTTCATCAAAAATGTCGCTTCAAAAAGACTACGAAAACGTCGGTGTGCTTGCACATAAAACTAGTAAGATAATATAGACATTATAGAATCGTAGGAGAGAGAAGCTCTATATCTCCAAGGCTAGAGAAAATGCAAAGACACGCACGCGGTCACCACAACTGCCCATTTCAGACCCACCTTGAGTTCGATATCCACGCTAAGACGTGCCTGCCTGTTAAGCAGTCTGTCGCGCTCTCACCTCTGCTCCTCAACCCACACACAACATCAAACTCCAACTCTACCTTGCAACGTCTACGTGCTACTTCGTTGCCCTTGATACCTCACCTCGACCGAATCATGGCGCCTCTCCTCGCCACTGCGGTCGCTACGTACAAGCAAAAGAGGTTTGACGCTGCGGCACTCGAAGCCATGAAAGCACACGACGCACGAATCCAGATCGTACCCGTGGAGGCGAAGCTCAACGCCAACGACATGGCAATCCTTGCCAATAACCCTCGTCAATTCGATGCGAGTTCTCCCCTGCTGTCTTGCAGTGAACTTGTTACTAATATATTTCCAGTTCAGCCATTGGCACGGACTACCGCAATCCTGGATCGATGAGTGTTTCGGAGAGGATCTTGGCAAGCGACTTGTTAAGATCAAGCTGATCAAATTAGAGTCCCGCCCAGTCGAGCAGCCTCCGGTCGCGAAACACTCGGACTTGGATCTTCAGATAGCGGAAGCAGCTGGCTTCCACCGAGCCATCAACATATGGAACGACTCACATTCATGGACACCCCTTTACATACAACAACAACTGCGCGATCAGGCCACCGAATTGGGCAAGATTCTTTCCGACTACAACATTGACGAGCCGAGTACCCTCCCCGGCAAGTTCAAGCACGATAGCGCAGCGTATTGCCCGTATCAACTTCGTCTGTCAGATCGCCAGGCAGCGAATGCGTTACTGGCGTCAAGCTACTTTGATGTGTACATGGGCATGCGAGACTAGCAGCACTTCTTTTCATTTCAGTTCCTAAGATGTTACGAGGCTCGTTCTCCCCAAACTCAGGATAGTAAGAGATACATACTCTAGCACGACAAGACGTCGAGCAGATGCAGGGGGTATTCGACTTACAATTGGTGGAAAAGAAACCAAAACGATAGGCGTTTGGCGTTAGATCCTCGTCTCGGGAAGTTGCCTCGACGAATATGCGATTGGAGGATATCGTGACCGATCGCTACATGACAATACCTATTCCGAGAACGTAGCAGTAATCCTTCAATATACAATGGCCACTTATCCCATGCCTTTCGATCGCTTCCGTGACCGTATATAGCACCACGTCAAAGTCAAATCGTTTCCATTACGCCATAGGTACATACCAGGGTATCATGAACGCCAAACTAAAGCCCACAAAGCGCCTCCACAGTTGACGGACCTGTCAAAGATTTTCAGTCTGACAGCAGCATGCCACTCTCCCCAGTCCTATTTCTCACATCTAGTGCATGCATTCGCAAGCGCCGCGTCTATGCCCTCAAGCCTACCACGCTCAACCCTTGTGCTTCCTCAACACATCCTCGCTAACCCTCTTGACGCTCTTGGCAGATAGTCCCCGCTCGCCGCGTTGTTTGCTCTTGATGCTCGCTTCGTTGATGAGTCTGTGGGTATTGTCAGCTCCTGTCTCTCTTCCTCTTCCCAGCCTCCACATCCGTCTATTGCTCGCACGAATGCGTTTCCCTGCTCTGTGCCCTTCCAAACTATCCGAACTTCGTCGCACCGTGTCGTGATGTTACGTGAATCGAAGGTAGCGCATCGCATTGCGTCGTATCGTGTATGCATGGGAGGTACGTACTCTTGCATGAACAGCACATAGTTCAGGTATATCTATGTCGCACGTCAGCCTTCCATCTCACTACTACGCATCACGTCAACGTACCAGTATATCCACGTTCTTGCTCAATGGCTGGTTGGAATGCGCCTTGACGATCTTCTTGACGGTGCCGCGGGGGTAGAGGGTCGGCGCCATGATGTGTGTTCGTTATTTGCGAAAATAGTGAGATGACTCGGGGAGTAATGTATTGGAGATGCCTGGCGTAATGGGTGCGGTGTGCGGGGTTAGTTGAGCACAGTACGGGATGGATGCGTGGGTAGACGTGTCTGTTGACGTCGATGCGTGCAGTCGGGTCTGTGCGTTGACGCGCTGGCACGTGTAAGGCTAACACTGAACGCCACACTCATGAACACAGGCCTTGTGCAGGGGCTATAAAATGGTTGTAAAGCTGATAACTATCTCCTAGGAAGACATCACATGTTTGGGTCAATTGAAATCAGTCTGAACAAAAGAATTCTCATACGAGATGCATCTATCAGGGACTATCACAAGATAATGTTACACAAACGAGATTCCACATCTACTGCGCTACATAATCACTGTATTTACACCTTCAAGCCGAGATCCGCAGCGTAGGGGAGTACGAAAAGGTCACCGACGGACGATACTGAGGCGTTGCTCTCAAGTAGTTCCTTAGCAGCCTGGCGTAGTTGTTAGCACATAGCACATGGGTAATGATGGTGTGAAGACTCACCTTCTTAACGGACTCTTCTGTTACGCCGTCAATCTTCTGGGCAACCTCGTCGATCTGGTACGGTTGGGTGTTGTGGATCAGACCGTTACCAGTAAGCTCGAGACCGGCGCGGATGTCCTGGCCGTGCTCGAGCTCCTTGAACTTGGCGGCGGCCTTTGCCTTGGAGACCTCTTCGCTCGAGATCTCGCCGGAAGCAATCTTCTTGATGGCATCAACGGCGGCCTGGGCGGTTTGGGCGACAGCCTTGGCGGATCCGGTGATGGTGGTGTAGAGGAGACCGGCGTCGGAGTAAATGGCGCTGGTGGTCTTGACCTTGGCACCCTGAGCGGCGGCCTGGCCGAGCTTGGTGAAGCCTTGCGACCACTTGACGGCAGACTCGCCTCCGAGCAGAGAGCTGAGGACGGCAATCTCGGGCTTGTAGAACTTGCCGGTGAAGGAGCTGGAGCCGGGGAAAGCAATGACCATGGCGTTGCCGCTGTCGTGGGCGATGCGCTCCTCGCCACCGTAGTACTTGGACTGGTCGGCACCGGTGTTGGACTCCTGGAGAGGGGCGCTGGGGACGTTCTCGAAGAACTCGCCAACCCACTTGGAGAACTCGCCGTGGTCGGCACCGTTGGCTACGACGGCGAAGTTGGGCTTCGCGTAGGCGATCTTGGAGTACCACTCAATGGTCTCGGCGTCGAGGTACTTGGTGTAGGGTGTGGGCGCAGCGGAGGCGGTGGGGACGCCGAGGCCGCGGTGGAAGGCGAGGCTGTGGGCGGACTGGGTGGCCATGTCGGTAACGCTGGCGAGGAACTTCTTGTGGGCGAAGTGGATCATGGGGAGCACCTCCTCGGCGTAGACGTGGGCTGCAGGGTGTCAATTCCATCCATCTCGTGGTATCAATTTTGCCTACGCTGGTACTTGGTGGAGCTAGCGACCTCGCCGAGCAGCTCGACGAAGTAGGGCAGGTCATCGCGGAGGAACTTGGCCTCGAGCACCAGGTTCTCGCGCGAGTGGTGGGCGTTGAGGCTGGCGCCCAGGAGCTCGGATTCGCGGACAATGCGCAGCGTCGACCGTCTTTCGGTGCCCTAGAGGTCCGGAGCGTCAGTCTCGCTCTCCATAGCATCGGCAGTCTCAATTCAGCGTACCCGGAAAGCGAAGTTGGCAAGGCCCTCGGTCAGGCCGGGCAGCGGCTGGAAGCGCGTGCCGGCCCTTGCGACAAGGGCCAGTGTCGTCGTGGGGCCGGCAAAGTCTCTGCTGGCGTACTTGACGCCCTTGGCCTCGCCAGATTGGTAGTTGAAGGAGCCTGAAGCTGGGGCAGCCAGGCCGCGGCGCTGGCAGCGGGCGACGGGCTGCTGGCGAGCTGCACGCTGCGCGCCCCGGCAGGCGGTCGTTCGGGAGAGCATCGTGGTGTAGGCGCCGGGCGGAGGGCTGGGTGGTGTGCGGGGGACGGCAATGGATGGAATGCGTCTGGTGGTGCGGCTGTCGAAGATGCCCGTCACAAAGTTCGTAGGCCGCCAAGCCCCGTAATGCCATCGACCGCCGCTCCATTGGCCGGAGCTCGACTGGGAACGGTCACCCACCCCACCCAGTATCATTTTCTAGGCCGCTAAGACTGTCGCTGCTCATTCCTCGCCCTCTCTGCTCCAGCTTTGTTCTCCCCGTGCGTCGCCAATGTCTCCCCGGTAGCATTACCCCACCCTAGATATCTGGCAAATATCTAGGCTCCATCATGTCTTACAACCAGCGAGAGACTCCGGTAAGACGCGCCGCCGTTGCGCCTCGCCCATGTCACATGAATCATAACCAACCACTCTGCAGGTCCTTGCTGAACTCTGCACCTCCCTGGTCAAGGATGTCTACGGTGAACTCGCGGCAGTATGTCTTGTCGAACCAAGTCCCTGCGCATCGTCGCGCGCGGGCGCAGTACTCTTCTGCATCCAGGCATGCGACGGGCGCATTCAAGAACACTCTTCTAACTCGTCTTAGCGGGTCTTTTCGATCCTCGCGCGCCACGGACGCCAGAGTCTCGCATCTATCGCACGCGTCTCCTACCTGAACCCGCGCCAGATCAAGTACGGCCTCGTCATTCTCCTCCAGCAGCACCTCATCTTCCACTCCGGCAGCGATGCGCCCTTGACCTACTACGAGATCGACTGGCAAAACTCGTACGCAATCGTCCGCTTCGGCAAGATCGTCAAGCTCGTCCAAGACCGCGACGGCAAAAAGGCCGCCAACGTCATGTCCAACCTGCTCGCGCTCGGCCACACACGCATCGCCGACTTGAAAGAAGCCTACTTCCCCTCCGAAACCGAGAGCGACTATGACTCAGACGACGGCGCGGCAAACGGAGCCGGCTCAAAGCGGAAACGGACCAACGGCACTCACGTCAACGGGACAGCGAAGACGAATGGCGTCACGAACGGCACACCCTCTGAGTTGGACGACGCGAAACCAGACCCCACCGAACTCACCAACGGCCACGGCAAGACCAACGGCGTCCATAAGCCCTCCAAGGTGGACAGCGTGACCCACAACAGCGCTCCAGAAGAGCCCGGACAAGAACAGGATGACAGCGACATCGGCTCCGTCGAGGAGCTGTACGAGATCATTCAGCGGCTGATGGAGCGCGGCTGGATCAGGACAGTCACCGAAACACAATACCTCTCCCCCGGCGACATGCACGACATGCTCTACCAGGAGTCCATCGAGCAAGACAACAACGGCGTCACACCCACGGGCACCAAAGACAAGGACATCGTACACAGAGGGACCTTGCAGCGTAAACGGGCAATGCGCGACGAATGGCTGACGGTCCCAAAGTTCGCCCGAAACGGACAGATGAATGGTTCCAACAAGCGCGTGAAGATCAACGGCGCGAACGGCACAAATGGATGGGCGGCGCCATCATCGGACGACGACCTTGTTATTCGCGTCAACCCGGAGAAGATTGCAGTCGCCATGCGGACGGAGCAGCTGGTGAGTCTGGTACAACAACGTCTTGGTTCTATTACTGCGCGCGTCTACCAAACCATGTTGCGCATGCTCGAGTCCAAGACACCCCGCTGCTGGGAAGAGTGGCCTGACCCACCCCTACCTGCCGGCGAAGCTGGAGAGAACTCGATCGACCCCCGCTTCCTCGTAACCGCCCGTGACGTCGCTACGAAGCTCAGCCGTGAGCGCGATCTGGACATCTTCGAGGGCCTCGATCCGAACGCAGCGGCGCAAATGACTCGCAAAGGGCACATCAATCGCGCTACAATCTGGACACAGCCAGTTGACCCCGCAACGCTCAACATGGAAGACAGGACCAAGGTCGTGGACAAGCACATACAGATGCTGGCTGAAGACCCGTTTCACTTTGTCACCTGGCACTCTCGCGCCGGATTCTCGCAATGGCACATTGAGTTCGACGAGATTGCGCGGCAGATGATACAGACC